GACGGGCGAGGGTGGGCGGTCGGCGGTGTCCTCGCTGTGTTGCACCAGCGCCTCGCGCACGGCCGCCAGCCCGTTGACCACGACCACGGGCGTCCAGGCCAGCTGCAGGCTGAACACGTCCCCAAAGCGGCTCCGCAGCTGCGGGCGGAGGGTGTTGGGTAAGCTGTCCGGTCTCAGGGCCCTGACCTTGCAGGACACCTGGGCGGTCAGCAGGGAGCGGGCAAGGACTTTATCTGGTCGGACCCTGCGGTCACTTCTCTATGATCAAGGACCTCCCATCTCGCATCTCTGAGTTTGCAAATGTCACCACAATTGTCAGTAGGCCACGTGAGCATGCTCTCTCTCAGGGGCAGAAGCTAAGGCCATAGAGGTGAGAGTGAGGCCCAAGGACCCACAGAGCAGCAGACTTGAGCCCGTTCTCTGCTCCCTCAGCCTGACTTCCTGATTGAAATGGGGCTCCTGGCCGGACTCCGCTCCCCCTTCTCCAGACCTTTCCCCCTGAGCTAACCAGAAGGGGCTCGAGCCCGACCAGCATTGCTCAGTGGCTGAGCGTGGACCTATGATCCAGGAGGTCACAGTTAGATTACTGGTCAGGGCACCTGCCTGGGTTGTGGGCTCCACCCCCATGCAGAAGGCAGCCAGTCAATGATTCTCTTTCATCATTTGTTTCCATCCTGCTCTCCCTCTCCCTTCCTCTCTGAAATCAGTAAAAATATATTTAAGCAGACGGGACTCAGGCTCACCTACTTTCAACACTGTCTAAACAGAACCCAAACCCACTGCCAAGTCCCACCCCCTCTGCAACCTTTGCCCTCTGTGACCTTTGGAAAATCCCAACCGTCTCTGGGCCCTGCAGGCATGACCTCCTCAGGGAGCCTCTCTAACTCACCCCCTCTTCTCAGCTCAGCTCCTTGTCCAGCCTGTGGCTCACGCCCACTCTGCCTGCTGCGAGGAGGGTGCCCGTGCTGCCCACCACATCCCTGCCTGCAGGAGGAGGGTCCCCCGTGGCCTCTGCTGCCCACCCCCACCCCTGCCTGCTGCGATGAGGGTCCCCCATGATCTCTGCTGCCCACCACATCCCTGCCTGCAGGAGGAGGGTCCCCCGTGGCCTCTGCTGCCCACCCCCACCCCTGCCTGCTGCGATGAGGGTCCCCCATGATCTCTGCTGCCCACCACATCCCTGCCTGCAGGAGGAGGGTCCCCCGTGGCCTCTGCTGCCCACCCCCACCCCTGCCTGCTGCGATGAGGGTCCCCCATGATCTCTGCTGCCCACCACATCCCTGCCGCTGCGAGGAGGGTCCCCCGTGGCCTCTGCTGCCCACCCCCACCCCTGCCTGCTGCGATGAGGGTCCCCCATGATCTCTGCTGCCCACCACATCCCTGCCTGCAGGAGGAGGGTCCCCCGTGGCCTCTGCTGCCCGCCGCACCCCTGCCTGCTGCGAGGAGGGTCCCCTGTGGCCTCTGCTGCCCACGTCTCTTTCATCATTTGTTTCCATCCTGCTCTCCCTCTCCCTTCCTCTCTGAAATCAGTAAAAATATATTTAAGCCGACGGGACTCAGGCTCACCTACTTTCAACACTGTCTAAACAGAACCCAAACCCACTGCCAAGTCCCACCCCCTCTGCAACCTTTGCCCTCTGTGACCTTTGGAAATCCCAACTGTCTCTGGGCCCTGCAGGCATGACCTTCTCAGGGAGCCTCTCTAACTCGCCCCCTCTTCTCAGCTCAGCTTCTTGTCCAGCCTGTGGCTCACTCCCACCCTGCCTGCTGCAAGGAAGGTGCCCGTGGCCTCTGCTGCCCAACACACCCCTGCCTGCTGCGAGGAGGGTCCCCCGTGGCCTCTGCTGCCCACCCCCACCCCTGCCTGCTGCGATGAGGGTCCCCCATGATCTCTGCTGCCCACCACATCCCTGCCTGCAGGAGGAGGGTCCCCCGTGGCCTCTGCTGCCCGCCGCACCCCTGCCTGCTGCGAGGAGGGTCCCCTGTGGCCTCTGCTGCCCACGCCCCCTTCCTCACCTGGTTAACAGAGTGCAGCATGTCCTGGAAGTCCACGTGCAGCAGGTTGCCCAGCCCTGGCAGCGGCCTGGGGCCTGGCGGGTAGTGGGCAGCCCAGTGCACACGCCGGTGCATCAGGTCCACCAGGAGCAGGAAGACGGCCGTGGCCACAGCCAGGGGCCACAGTGCCTCCCCGGTCAGCAGCCCCATGGCTGTCTGTGTCCTCAGGGCTCCTGTGGGCACACTGGCACCCTCACCACACAGGCAGCTAGGACAGGCCTGGCACAGCGCCCTCACCACGCCCTGTGGGCTGGGCCAGCCTGGGCTCTCCTTATTAAAGGAGCTGAGGCTAGCTTGTGCCCTCTGCCCTGAGCCAACCTGTCTGGGAGTTACCACTGTCAGAGGGCACAGGGAGAAGTTGGGCAAGGTCGGGTGCAGGGGTGGTTGGAGAATCCGGCCCGTCCTGTCCTCTCTGGGTGCTTTCCCGGGTGGGGGTGGGGGGAAGAAGTTCACCCCCAGTTCACTCCGCAGCTCTGCCTGGGCTCCGAGGAACACCAGGGGTTTCCAGGCTGACCCTGCGTCCTGTCTCTCAGGCTCACACCTAACGTGGTCGCAGTCTCCTCCCCGAACATGTCCCTGCTCCCGCCTTTCCCTGCCTCCTGAGCGGCCTTCCCCTCCCAGGTTTGTTGCTGACCTTTGCCCAGCGCTATGGGGAGGTCCCGGGACCGCGTGGGCAATGAGGCCCTCGGTGCCCCTTCCCTTCACACTAGAACACTCAGCACAGAGTCGCACACAACACGTTCACAGACACTGCCCGCGTGCTCACAGTCTGACACACAGTCACATGCACACACATTTACACTCCCAAACTCCACACACACGGCGACACACACGTCCCCTCTAATCCCGGGGCCTGAGGCTGCCTGGACACGGCCCCCACCTCAAGGCTGCTCACAGGCCTGCTGAGGCTCTCACCTGGCTGGCTGCTGGCCCTGCTTCCTGGGTTCCGCTGGGTCCTGGCTGTGGTGAGCTTGAACCTGGGGTGGGGAGGGGAGGCGAAGAGTGTGTTTAGAGCTCCCTGGTCACCCCGACAAGCCCATTGGTTGCCCGAGGACCCCTTCCTGTTTGTTGCAAATTGGTCCTTGGGCCTCCTAGCTCTGGTGGCCGCCCAGTAACACATCTCCTTCCCCCTGGCTTCACTCTGAGGGGTGGGGGTCGGGCACTTCCCTTGTCGACTGAGCTGCGGTGAGCTTGGCCTAGGATGTGACTGTCCCCAGAGGAGGGGGCCTGCTTCCTCCTCATTATCGTTTGTCCTTGACCATCATCTGCTCAGACTCTTGCTGGGGGACAAGGGGTGGAAACCAAGTGGGGGTGATGCAGGTCCTGGCCAGGCTGCTCCCTGTGCGGGGCCCTCCCTCTCCCTGGGCCTGGTCCCCTCAGGCTCTGTGGCCCCTCACGGAACCATGCAAACCTCCGTACCATCTACTGCCAACGTGTGCCATCTCCAGGCGGGGACGGTGGCTACCTGGCCGGCCCTCCGGCTCAGCCTCTCTGCCCCTTCTAAGCAGAGGGAGCCTGCTGGCCTCAGCACCCTCCTTCTTCAACAGTGAGAGAGGTGGGACTTCAGTTTTCAAATCGGTGAAACTGATGGGAACTTTGAGCTCAAACGCACTCAAATTCGAAGACCCAGGAGGCCAGAGGCAGGGAAGGGGCATTGCCTGATACGGGTCGGCCCTCACCCTTCCCAGGGGTGTGCGAGGCAAGCTCTCACTCTGGAAATGGCTGGAGTGCCCGGGTCTTGAAGGGGCTCTCCCCAGCTGAAGCAGGGCTGCAGGAAGCCTCCCCCTTCTCCCCCCACCCCTTCTCTCCCTCACTCCCCAACAGTAACAGCACCAGTTCTTCCCAGGGTGCCTCTGGCTCAGAGCGCTGTGGCGTCTTGGCATTGGCTTTCAGTGTTTGCCAATCCCGCCTGGCGCCTGGCCTGGGCTGTGAACACTGTTCTGCCCCTTCCCCACCTCCCACACCGCTCTCCTGCCAGGCCCCAGCTGGCCACCAAGTATGTAGCTTCCTGGTGCCCAGCTGGGCCCCCTTGCATCTCCCCTTGGCTAGGACTTGGATCGTTTCATCCTGGCTGGGTGCCCCATGTGCTTGGCTGGGCCCCGCCGGCCGGTGGGAAGGCTAGGGGCGCCTGCTCCCAGGTGCTGGTCCATGGGAAGAGGTGGTGATGCCAGGCCAGCAGTGCAGAGACTGCAGTGCAGAAATGAGTGACGTTTTTAAATGCTGATGGGAAGGAGCCAATAGAGAAGGAGAGGCTGAATATATGAGAGAGGAAACCCCAAATGCCCAGGTTGTGAGAAGACCAGATAGACTGCAGCTCAGAGGGGGCGGTCTCAGAGGGGAGGGCAGCCCCTCCCTAGAGGAGGAATTGGCCTGTGAGAAGCAGAGAATGAATGGGAGGGTTTGGTGGTGAAGGGAACTCGCATCTGGTGGAGGTTGAAATCTTTAGAAGGTTCTGAAACAGCCCCTGTGGAGAATGGGAGCTGCCTCGGGAAGCGGAGGCTACTGGCCTCATCCAGGGTCCCGCTCACGTGGGAGACCTTGACTTGCCATGGGGCCAGTTTGTAGGGAATGCTGACACTGCTGGGGGTTCCAGACAGAAGAGTTTGAGGAAGCTGGGGAATCGCCCACAGTGCTCCCCAAATTATTTTGAGAAGACTAAAATGGCTAATTCCAATGTAACCCTGATGTTTGGGGGGTAGCAATCTGAATCTGTGCCAGCAAGCCCAGTGTACATTCTTGAGAACCTATAATTAAGCACTGCCTCTTTCCCAGAATCTGGTCTATCAGAACCTGTTACCTAAATGCTCACTTTTCACAGAGGCCATAAACTATGAACAGTGCACAGCCCCGGAGGGGGGGTTCTTAGTGCTGGCACCAGGCCAGACCATTAGATATGGCCTGGAGACCCCCAACACCTGGGGCCTTTTTTGCAAAGCCCCTGAAAAGGACCAGAAGCATAATCCTTATTTGAGGGACAAAGACACCAGAAAGATATAAAAGAAGCTCCCAGCATGTTACTTTGCTCAGACTTGGGAAGTTATTCTGGTGAGTCCGCTGGCGTAATAAACAGTGTACCTTTTCTCTAAAGTGTTGCTTGGTTTTTCTCTGGTCTTCTGCAACATCTGGTTCCCTGGACTGAGCAGCCCAACCACGCTGGTCTTTTTGGCCTCCAGTGAGTGGACTGGGTTTGAGGCCCCGGGGGGCGGGATAGGCCTCTGGGAGGCGCACCCTGCTGACTTTAGCAGAATTGAACCGGGGGACTCCGGGTGCTCCCAGACCTCAGCCTAGGACCCAGCCAGCATCTGGAGAAAGTGGACGGACACCTCTGGACCTGTCCACAGAAACAGTAAGGTAGGGGCCCCATGTAGTTAGGCCCACTCTAAGAGAGTGGAAGGGGAGCTTGATCACCTCCTGGGAAGTCATATGACTTTGTCAGGTAAATTAGTCAGGAATTGGATGGGCTGTTTAAACTCTGAGTGAATGTCTGGTGAAAGTGTGTGAGTGTGGAAGGAAAAGGCCTGCCCTCGCCTACCCTTTGTGTGGCTCCACGACCTCAGTTTCAGAGTCCGAGTGGGTCCCAACCTGCAGTTCCATGATTTTTCATAAGGCGTAACTGTGACTCACCCCCATGTGGAGGTGACCAGGCCCAGGGTTTATACGGGTGCACCTTAGCTAAGACAAACCTAAGCTCCCAGGGGAAGTGGCCAGGCGGGGATCTGAGTGGATCTGTGAAAACAAGTCACCCCCTTCCCTTGTCTGTATCTCACCACCGATCATCATGGGGCCGGGACAAAGTAAACCTATTCACTGTCCTCAATTGCATGTTGAACAATTTTAAAAAAGGGTTTCAATGGGGATTATGGTATTAAAATGGATCCCAAAACACTGAGGAAATTCTGTGAATTAGAATGGCTAGCTGTCGGGGAAAGCCTGACAGGTTGAACCGGGCTGAGGTAGGGAGGTGGGAATTGAGAAAAGAAAGAAAGACAGGAGAGTGGGATCAGGAGGACTACAGCTCAATCGAGGAACTGCAGCAAGTTTATTAACCACACAATGCTATTTATACACAAGACATGCATAGGAGGTCTGTCAAGAGGAATGTATTCTTTGTTCCTCTTAATCTCTAAGGGAGAGTCACAGCAGAAGGACAAGTTCTCGGTACAGCAGATCTCAGTAAATAGTTACAGACTTCTTGGTAAGCCATGAAAGGCTGTTCTCATTCTACAGAGGTTGCTCTCATTCTACTGATAATCGCCCCCCAAGTAAGTCTGGGAAAACTGTGTGGGTAAGGGTCCCAGCCTTGCTAGCCCCTTCAGGTGCAAGGACCTTGTCAGCTTACACCTGGTCTCCAACACTGTGGACCACCTAGGCTACCATCCTTCAACAGCTTCTCATTGGCCTTGTCTGTGGCTTTCCCTACATAGATAGCTGGTTAGAAATTGCTCTAACCTTGCCACCTTGGGTCCAGTTCTGAGTGTGTAAGAAGGGACAGAATAAGGTTTTAGTAGCAGGAGAAAAGAAGCAGGTAGGAGAAAAGAAGCAGGTCCCTCAGAAGGGAGCCCAACCCCCTGTTCTGCCAGGACCTCCTGAGGAAGCCCCACCACTTTTACCACCTCCATGTGTGCCACAGGTGGCACCAAGGGCTCCCCCCGCCGGTCTGGAAGGTCCGGAAAGTCTAGAAACATCGCTCCCGTCCATCTCTCCTCAACCAGGCTCTCCAGAGCCTGTTGGGTGGCGCTTGCAATTAGCTGACCAAAGACTCAAACCGCAACCGGCAGGTCAGATGCCTCTCAGGGAGGTTCGGGGTGCCAAAGTACTTGGCAAAGGTGGGACCTTGCAGGAGGGAGAGCCAGTCTATTTTTTTTTTTTTTTGGATGCAGCCAGAACCATGCTAGAAAGGAAGACATATTTCAACTTTCAGGACCCAAATTTCTCGGGCCCAGAACTGCCAGGTTCTGATGTCAGAACTCTCAGAGACAGTGTGCTGGGCTCTGGTCTTGACAGCTTCCAGAAGGCCCTCCCCCTAGTTCTCCAGTTGGATTTAGGAGCCCCGCCCTCTGTCTCCTGGGGAAAAAGCAGAGAGGGTGAAGGGGCTGGCTGGCTGCTGGGGACCTACCTTCAGTGACCACGGCTGAAAGGTACAGGAGATGGTTACTCAGCCAGGGGAAGGCTGGACGGGCCCCGGCCGCCTCCTGCTCCCCTGCCATCCTTTCTGTCCTCCACACACTTCACTGTCTCTTGAAGGCAGGGGTGGGGAACCTTTATTCATTTATTTCTTCCCAGGGCCTTTTGGATAATTATAACAGCATTCGAGGGCCATACAAAATTATCAACTTAAACATTAGCCTGTTCTATGTGGTCAAACGTTTCGTGAACTCAACGCAATTGGGTCTTGGCAGAGCCAGACACAATGGTTTTGCAGGCCTTACACGGCCCGAGGGCCACAGGTTCCCCACCCCTGTTCTAGGTCATTCGGCTGTTAAGTCTCTTGGTTCACCCGCATACACTGTTTACCAAGATGCATTAATCTTCAGGCCTTTCACACGCAGTTCCCACCTGGAAGACTCTGGTCCCTTTTCCAGACCCACTGCTATTTGTCATCTGAGTCTCAACAGCGACATTACTCTCAGGAGCCTTTCCTGATCCCCGAGGCAGGTCAGCTGTCCCCTGGATGCACTTAACATATTGGATGTAATCGCCTACTTGCTCACCCTGACCCCCCTAGACTGGAAACTCCTGGGTCGGGTCTGGGTCTTTTTTTTTTAATTCAATCTTTATTGTTCAGATTATTACATTTGTTCCTCTTTTTTCCCCCCATAACTCCTCTCCACCGTTCCCACCCCCCACCCTCCGCCCTCACTCCCCACCCACTGTCCTCATCCATAGGTGAACGATTTTTGTCCAGTCTCTTCCAGCACTCCCCACACCTCTTTCCCCCCCAAGAATAGTCAGTCCATTCACTTTCTATGTCCCTGATTCTATTATAATCACCAGTACATTCTGATC